CTTCTCCAAGCAGGAGCAGCTCCCAGGTGCTCAGGTGCACTGGGCGCCAAGCCGCGGAGCCTCCAGGGGCAGAGGGTGACTGGGGTAGCGGGTGACAGGGGCAGCCGGCCAAGGGCCCCTTTCAGTCAAAGCACCCAAGTTGCAACTTTTTTCTTGTAACTGTTTTGCTACTAAGAGAATGTCAGAAGTTCAGTCTATGTTTGCAGCGGATCCTGCCGCCACCAAGAACCCAAAACCTGACTTTGGCTTGGTGGGACTTGCTTTGGTTGGCTCCGCGCACGGCGACGACGACAGTGTTTCTGTGTAATAGTGTCTGCCGCTCACTGGCCAGGAGCTTCTCCGTGAGATGGGCACCGCAGACAGGAGGCCCCAGAGGTCCTCCCGGCCACTGTCTGATGCCGCCTGCTGGGGGGCACAGTGAGTTGTCTCAGGACCCGACACTGATGCTCCTCTCCCTTCCCTCCCCGCCACCCAACTCCCCAGCCACCGTAGAAGGGGAGAAGGGAGTGACCCACAGCGTTCAGGGCACTCGGGGTCTAGACCGGGGTGGTGCCACCCTTGGCGCAGGGGGCTCGGCTCTGCCCGCCGGGGCGGTTGTGGGCAGGAGGGGGCGCGTCTTCCCTCTCCCCCTGCAGCACCTGCTGTGTGCCAGCCCTAGACGGTTCCTGCCTGTCTTGGGGGTTGGTGGAGGGAGGAGGCCGTTCTGCCAGCCGTGGAAGGGCTGCTATGGGGCATCTAGGGCTGCGGGGGTCCGAAGGAGGGGGCTCGAGGTGAGAGGTATCCTGTCCCAGGACGGAGGACAGCGGTGGGGTGGTCTCCCTCCCGACCTGCTTCGAGGAGCTGAGCGTGCAGGCGCTCCAGGTCCCAGAGAATAAAGGTAGCTAATCTCACAATATTTTTATTAGAATGTTCTGATGATCAAAGGAAAAGTTTTTATTTTTTTTATTTTTTTATTTTTATTGTTTTAAAGATTGGATTTCACCATGCTGGTCAGGCTGGTCTTGAACTCCCGATCTCAGGTGATCCGCCTGCCTTAGCCTCCAAAGTGCTTGGATTACAGGCGTGAGCCACCGCGCCCCGCCACTTGTTTTTTTTTTAAAGAAAAAATAAGTCAAATGACTAGTAAGCTTCATTAAGCAGTAAATTACCAGCCAAATTCCTTTTGGCAGGTCAGATAACATACACATAGGAGTAGCACCAGGAGTTGGAGACCTGCTTACCACATTATAGAACCAGTAAACTGTTTTGTGGTGTTGTTGTTGTTGTTTCTGAGACAGAGTCTTGCTCTGTCGCCAGGCTGCAGTGCAGTGGTGTGATCTTGGCTCACTGCAACCTCCATCTCCCGGGTTCAAGCAATTCTCTGCCTCAGCTCCCAGTAGCTGGGATTACAGGCGCCCACAACCACACCTGGCTAATTTTTTTTATTTTTTATTTTTTTTTATTTTTAGTAGAAATGGGGTTTTACCATCTTGGCCAGGCTAGTTTTGAACTCCCGCCCTCATGATCCACCTGCCTCAGCCTTTCAAAGTGCTGGGATTACAGGCGTGAACCACCGTGCCTGGCGGGACCAGCAAACATTTTTGCACTGAGAAAATAATTTCTCAGTCTAGCTAGAAAATTATTACCATTTGGGATATTTCTGTTAAGAGAAGTTAGTCCGCTATATATTGCTAAACTATGTTGGTAGTACTGTATTTTACATCTTTATATAACTAGAAATCAATTATATAGTAATATATATTAAATATTGGTTAACTATATGTTTCAATGAAATTTCTATATTATTTGGTATTCAGTTGTGCTCACGAGTCCATTGATTTCTTTTCTTTTTTCTGAGACCAAGTCTTGCTCTGTCGCCCAGGCTGGAGTGCAATGACTTGATCTCTGCTCACTGCAACATCTGCCTCCCAGGTTCAAGTGATTCTCCTGCCTCAGCCTCCTAAGTAGCTGGGATTACAGGCACCTGCCACCATGCCTGGCTAATTTTTGTATATTTAGTAGAGATAGGGTATCACCATGCTCTTGAACTCCTGACCTCAGGTGATCCTTCCACCTCTGCCTCTGAAAGTGCAGGAATTACAGCTGTGAGCCACCATGCCCAGCCAGATTTCTTTCATTTTTCAAAGACTTTTATTTTAAATTCAGAGGTACAGGTGCAGGTTTGTCACATAGGTAAACATGTGTCATAGGAGTTTGTTGTACAGATTCTTTCATAACCAGATATTAATTCTAGTATCCACTAATCATATTTCCTGATCCTCTCCCTTCTTCCACCCTGCACCCTCCAATAGGCCACAGTGTGTGTTGTTCCCCTCTATGTATCTACGTGTTCTCATCATTTACCTCCCACTTATACCTGAGAACATGTGGCATTTGGGTTTGTGTTCCTGTGTTAGCTTCTCAAGGCAAATGGCCCCTAGCTCCATCCGTGTCCCTGCAAAGGACATGATCTCATTCTTTTTTATGGCTGCCTTGTATTCCATGGTGTATTTGTACCACATTTTCTTTATCCAGTCCACCAGTGATGGGCATTAGGTTGATTTCATGTTTGCTGTTGTGAATAGTGCTGCACAAACATACATGCGCATGTGTCTTTATAATACAATTTATATTCCTTTAGGTATATATCCAGTAATGGAATTGCTGGGTCAAGTGGTTTATCTTTTTTTTTTTTTCTTAGATGGCTCTGTCGCCCAGACTGGAGTGCAGTGGCACCATCTCATCCCACTGCACCTCTGCCTCCTGGGTTCAAGAGATTCTCCTGCCTCAGCCTCCCAAGTAGCTGGGACTACAGGTGCTTGCCACCACGCCAGGCTAATTTTTTGTATTTTTAGTACAGATGGGGTTTCACCATGTTGGCCAGGCTGATCTCGAACTCCTGACCTCAGGTGATCTGCCCGCCTCTGCCTCCCAAAGTGCTGGGATTACAGGGTGAGCCACCACGCTCAACCAAAAAGTGGCAAGCTTTATTAGCACCAAATATTTCTCTGGAATAGCCGCTTATTGTATAGAAAAATGTTATTAATAGTAACTCAATAAGAAAGAGAAAACCTCATTAATACATTTATTCCCTCAACTGATTAATACATTTTCCATGCAAATTATGAGAGAGTTAAGCAATATATCACTCAAGTCGAATAAAATCTGATTTGTTTGAAGGGCAGGTTTTATGAAAACTTCAGGTAACATGTTTCTCCCATGTTCTACAATCTCTTTCATATGTACGACTGCATTTTAAAGAATAAGTTTCTCATCATATGTTCTCACTGGTATGTGGGAGCTAAGCTATAAGGACCCAAACGCACAAGAATGATACAAAGGACTTTGGGGGCTGTCTTGGGAGGAAGAGTGAGAAGGGGATGAGGGATATAAGACTACAAATATGGTGCAATGTATACTGCTTGGGTGATGGGTGCACCAAAATCTCACAAAGCACCACTAAAGACCTTATGTAACCAAATACCACCTGTACACCAGTGACTCATGGAAAAATAAAAAATAAAGAGTTTCATTTCTAAACAGACTTGTATAACACTGATTTTTTTTAAACACAAGAAAAAAATGAAATATAGAAAAAACTTAATCTCCAACTTCCATCAAGCATCCTTGGCAGTAATCATAATAAAATATCAGCACTTTTCATGTAGTGATGGTAAATCACACAAAATTTCTGAATAAAATTTATTCCAGGATTGTTAATTATTATATGTTGTATTGAAATGTATTAAAATATATAGAGAAAAATAATGTGATTATAATAATGTGTATGGGAGAAAAATTAATCACCATCATCATGTCAAATAGGGACAAATGCTTTTTGTGTAAGAAACTTCCAAAACAAACAAACAAACAAAAAAAGAGACTTCCAGCAAACTTGTCTGAACTTCTTGTTGCAATAAAAGAAAGAAAAAGAAAACTATAATAAATAAAAAAACCTTCCAGCAAACATCATATGATATAATCCTTTGCCACAGGAGAGAATCAGGTACGATAAGTTCCTACATGGAGAACAAAATGTGGGGTTTCTACTCTGTCTTCAGGTACCTTCCCACAGATGTCCCCAAATTTTCCTACAGCAGTAGGGATATGGGATGGAGTGACCCCCTCGAAAATCCCACATAAAGCAGTTCCCATTTCCCTACACAAACTGTGGCTCCCAGTGAAAACCACCTTAGATTTTTCTGCAAATCACATTCTTTTCTGGCCTTCTACAAGATGACAGGGGCCTAGAGAAGGCAGTACTAGTGGAGTTACCTTGGTGTGCACTTGCTGGATATAACATTTTAAGGCTATTTGCAAGGTCTGTTATGAGTTGTCTTTGGAGAGAATGTGCAGTCACCATGGTGCAATAAACCTGTATCTGAGCACCACACAGGTAACCAGATGCGCTCAATCAGTGTGATCCACATGCTGTGATGTGTGCTCTAGCAGGGCACAGACAGACACATTCAGCTCTGCCAGTGTGCAAACAGGGAGTGTGGCAATGACACAGTTATTCACAATCGCCATGGAATCTGATGTGGCATTTTAAAAAATGCGTAGATGATTTCAAGTGGTGTAAAAACATCACTGACAGACGAAAGCTATTGAATTAGACAGAAATCTAACCCTGCAAATATATATTTAAATAGTGAATAATGAACAGGATATCTGAATGGTGTGTATATAATATGTATTTTGTATGTGATTTCAGATGCAATTTTAGATATTTATGAAATTGTATATGCAGAAGGATACACCTCAAAATGATGAAAATTATGGTGTGTGGATCTAAATGGCTGCTTTTTATTTTAGTGTTTAAATATTTTATCTTTCCATTTGTTCAGGTGTGTATTAATTTTTTAGTTATGAATGACCACAGTTTAGCCAGCAGTTTACTATAGCACCGATTTATTTTCTCACAGTTCAGAGATGAGAACTGTGTCAGGTTTTTCTGGGTACTCTGGTCTCACAAGGCAAAATCAAGGTCA